TTACACCTGAAAATCCCATTATCGCCACCATTACCGGACTTTGTATATTATGCATGCAAATAGACACAATATTTATGACTCAATTAGTCGAATAATCAAGATGTCATCATTGATCCATGACACCATTACCATCTATGGTACAATATCCCCACACGTGCCCATAATTTTTTTCATGACTTGAAATCGCGCAACTCTTTCATGAAAACTGAAAAATGAATAAATGCACTCATGAATTCTCTTCTCCATCTGTCACTTGCACTTATTTTCCTGAAAATCCCCTATTTTCTTCCCAAGCAAGAGTTTGTTTAGAGTGTCTCACACGTCGCTTATTTATTCATTCCTCTCTGCAATCAAATGCTTTACGACCATGGGCGTCGTTTGAAGGGGGCAAGGTGGGGCATGTGCCCCATTTTTTTCCAATTTTGTTGTGAAAAGCACATTTTAGTTGTCAAATCTGTTTAATTTTATAACTAGTTATAAAATATTACATTTTTATCACTAGTGTTAAAAAGTGTGACATAAAGAAAACTAATAACACTATTTTTATAGCAACGCCAAGACCTAGTATGATTTTGGAAAATTATTGAAATCACAGATTTTAAAATCTTGTATAAAACACGATTCAAAATGGCTGTTTTTTGCACACGTCTTGTAAAAAACCGCTCATTTTGAAACTTGTTTTTGATTAATAAATTGATTATTGTTTTTTTGAATGTATTTTGAAAGTTGTTATTTTGTCTTCATTTTTTTTAGTATTTTTTAGTCCATGTTATTTACTGATTTGTGTTATTTTATGCTTAACTATTATAATTTTTATATTTTTTTTATTATTTTTTTAACTTTTACACTTTTATACTCCAATTTATGGTTTTAGAAATTCCTGTCTTATGGTTTCATTTATATTTTCCGTTAGAAAAAATATGGTTTTATGTTCCTATTTTGTATAACATTTTTTTGTATTTTTAAACTGCGATGAGGCTGCCCCTTTCTAAAAAAAATGCAACCACGCCCATGTTTACGACCATTGATGAAGCAAAAACCGTATTTTAAGAAAACTTTTTATATTCTGAAAAGAAATTTTTACTGTATTTAACTCTAGACATCCATAAGAAAAAATATAGGAAAGTGCTTTTCTCAGTTAAAAAAAATCAAAAAAATTTATAATTCACATAATTTTTGGTGTTTTTTATGAAATTAGCAACGTTTATGTAGTTTGACATGAATTTGTTGAATCTGCTTCCAACATTTTGGTACAAAACTTATTTACGCCAGTTTAATCTATAGATTTTTTTACAAATTTTACAATCTTTTTTAATTGCATAATACACTTTGTATCAGTATTTTTTTATAAAAATTTTAATGTTTATGTATTTTCACACATTTTTAGGATATTTTCAAAAGAATAACAAATTTTGTGGAAAATATGTGGAAATTTTTACATTAACATGCATAAGAAATAAATTTAGTTACTAGTTTTACAAATTTTGATAAAGTTATTATTTTTCAGTGTTGAAACACAATTCAGAAAAAGTCAAAATTCCATAATTAATATAATTTTTAGTGTTTTTTGATGAAATTAGCGAAGTTAATGAATTTTGCCATGAATTTTTTGAATCTGCTTCCAAAACGAAATTTAAAACTTCTGTTTCTTCAATTTTTTTATTTCTATTGATTATTGTTTTTTTGAATGTATTTTGAAAGTTTTTATTTTGTTTTAATTTTTTTTAGTATTTTTTAGTTCATGTTATTTACTGATTTGTGTTATTTTATGCTTAACTTTTATAATTTTTATATTTTTTTTTATATTTTTTTAACTTTTGCACTTTTATACTCCAATTCCTGTCTTATGGTTTCATTTATAATTTCCGTTAAAAATTTTTTTTTTGTATTTTTAAACTGCGGTGAGGTTGCCCCTTTGTAAAACAATTTCTAACGACGCCTATGTTTACGACCATTGATGAAGCAATAAAATTTACAAGTATTTACAACCGCCGGTCGGTAAATTAGGTAATTTGTTATTCTATTCGCAGCAAATTGGTGTTGCCGATAAATGCAACGATTCTAATCTGATTTCAGATAATAATTATATTAGTTATTCGGCACGTATCCGCCGCTTGTGTTTATTTTGGGGCTTAGTTTCGATGGAGAATTATTAATTTATACAATAATGGGCGGCCCCAAAATGGGGCTGCTGCTTAATTATGTTCACGATCTGATTTACTAATGGGGAGATCATTGGTGGAATCATTTGATTTTGAGATTTCAGATTTTCGGTTTTATTTTACAAAAAGAGAAAACGGATCAAAATATCCGAAAGTGAGATCTGCTTTCAAATTACAGATTTTTAGCTCTGAATTACAAAAACATTAAATAACTTCAGTTAAAAGATCTGTGAGTAAAAATTGTAAAAAACAATAAAAATTATTAGACTAAAATCTAAATTTTTTGAAGAAATATTTAAAGGTTGACTCAAAAATTCCTAACTAAAACGCCAAATTTACAAAACGACCAAAATTCTGCTAAAATCTTGAAAATTTTTAAAAAATTCCAAGACAAAATTAGCATTTTTTGAAAATTTTCAATTTTCGGGTGTAATGAAATTGCTTGAAATATACCACTCGATTAATTAAAAATTATTTTCGATACATTTTCACAAACACCTATTGTCATATTAAGAAAAATCTGTCAAAATATACATGTTGCCAATTTTAACAAAAAATATTACAAATTAATTCGATTATGCAATTTTCAAAATTTTTTGAGTATTTTAGAATGACAATATTTTAGCAAAATGTGTAAAAGGCTCCCACACTTTAGATAATGCACAAAAACAACAATTTTATTTAAAAAAAAGACAAAACAACAAATATTTATTGCAAAACAATTTTGTCTCTATATTCTAAAAAATTGTGTCAAAATATATACGTATATTAAAATTTTCTTTAAAAAAATACTGAAAACAGTGTATTATGCAATTAAAAAAAAATTTAAATCATGGCAATGTCTTTTGGAAACAGATTCAAAAAAGTCAAGTGAAAATACATAAACGTTGCTAATTTCATCAAAAACACCAAAAATTATGTGAATTATAAATTTTT